TAATTTTTAAAAATTCTTTTATTGGTACATTTTAGGTATACATTTATCATTGGGTGCTTGTACCTGTACATGATGTATCTTGGTTCTTATTTTTTTCCCCATTACCTGTCCCACAGTATTTTATACAAGAGCAAAGTGGAGAGACTCACAGGCAAAAGGAGGCACAAATAATAAGCAAGAAAACCTGATGCATTATATAAATACCATCTTTCCAACTTCGTCTTCATTCATTGGTGACTCCCCTCTGATATGTGCAATCCCAGCTCTCAAGAGAATTTCAAGACACTCTTTCAATGAAATAGTTTTTGAGAAAATTCAGGCAGCCAGGCATCCCCTGGATAAGCTAGATGGTTACATTTTGGAAAGAAGAACTACACTGTTTCCTTGAACATCTGACTATAGACCACATGATTGTCCATAGCCAGAGCATTTTTAAGACACTGCCAGAAGTATGGGTGAGCCTGTGGATTTGTTGGCCACTCAAGGACAGAACTGCCACAGAGTCTTTTCCGGAGCTGAAGAAACTTGGACTTCGTAAAGGGTTTTTCAAGGAATATCAAGATAATCACATCTACTTTTTCATCCATGAGCCTCTGATGGGATAAGTAAAATGCTATTTTAAAATTTTCAGTCTTTGCATACTTTTCTGTCATCACAAACACCGTCTTTTTGCTAAGCTGTATGCTCTGTGAAAGGTTTTCCAGAACTGGCTGCCCTGGTAACCAGTCCCTTTCTTCCAGACATAAATTAAAATGTTTCTCTCTTGGGTCTTCCAATCTGGCCACCAGCTCATCTAAAACCCACTCAGTCACGGCTGGATCTTTAGTGTCATATACAATAAAAGCATCATAGCAACATTCTGCTGACCGCAGACGCTGATACCCCCTTAGCTTGGCCTTAAAGAAATGATAAATATACCACATATCCCAGAAATACAGGTGACTTGCTGTCATAACCACCATCAGAAAGAGAGCTACAGATATGGAAACTGAGAACAGAATCAGGTTAATCAGATTTAACTCACAGGTATACAGATCCAGAGAGACAACACTCTGGCCTTTGTGTGCTCCTGGCCCCACACAAGTCACTTCTGTGGCCAGGTAAGGAATAGTCACATCTGTATGATTAACCCACCAGACAAACCACACAGCATCACAGTTGCACAGAAACCGATTACGATGTAGAAGCAACATCTCTAGATTGTTGAGGACATTTTGTGGGAAGCTAGTTTTTTGGATAACCTGGATTTTATTTGAACTGAGGTCCAGATATCGCAACTGGAAAGCATCTTTTAGAAAATATTTTGTCAGATGCCTGATTTGATTCTTCATAAGAATCAGTTTCTTGAGACTTCTGGAACAGTTGGATAACCTCTCAGGGAGAGTTGTCAGTTGGTTGTGACTGAGGTCCAAGATTTCCAGATTCTTTAGAAATGAGAGTTTTCTCCAATTGAAAGTTTGGAGCCCATTTTTGGCCAAAGAGAGGGTCTTTAGATTTGGAGGCATACCATCAAAAACACCAGGAGGTAAGAAACTAAGAGAATTTCTAGAGATGTCTAATTCTTCTAAGTTCAGCAGATTCTTGAAGAATTTTAAATATCTATTATCACCATCTCGCCATAAAATATCTAAGTGATTTCCTCTGAATTCCAGAATTTTAAGAGATTTGCTTTCCATGGTCCTGCTGGTGGAGGTAGAAATGTCATTGTCATTCATCATCAGTTTCTTCAGAAACTTTAGGTTCTTGGTAAAGTTGAGCATGTGAGTAATTCCTTCTGATTGAAAATAATGGCTGTTCATACTTAAATCTAGAACTTCCAGGTTGTGCAGCTCCTCAAATGCTGTTGAATGGAGTAAATCAAGCCGGTTATTAGAGAAGTCTAAGTATTTCAGCTGTTCTAAATGCTGGAATTCGCTGCCATTGAGAGTTTGGCCAATGGTATTTCCTGACAAGTTGAGGCACTTGAGGAAAGAAAGGTGCTGAAAATCGGAGGGCTTGACAAAAAATATATTATTTCTACTCAGGTCCAAGGTCTGCCCGTACATGTTGCAATCATTATTAAAAGTCAAGAAAGGAGTCTCCATATTTTTGAACCTGCAACTCCTTGCATACTTGTCATACCTGAAATAATGTAATGTCTCGAGGACCTGGGGTCCATTACTTTCTACAGAAGTTCTGGTGTTAGAGCAGAAGCCAATTTCACTTGAATCTTCTGAAGGTGATATTTTATTCATTGAAAGATCTATGAATTTCAATTTTTGAAATTGTTTAAATATGCTGAGGTTAGCAATTTTTATAAAGTTAGTGCCTAGATCAAGAACTTCAAGATTGTGAAGATCATGTAAGGGAGAAAGATTAAGGTATCTCAGCTCTTTAAAGACATATCCTTTAATCCGCAAAATTTTCAGGTTTTTCAATGAAGAAAACGAATGTGATAGATTTATAAATGCATGGTAGACCTGAAGTTCATAATTGAAAGACAGATCCAGCTGGATGAGGTTGGGGAGAAGATGTAAAAATTTGGCATCCCCAATTTCTTTGGCCAAGTAGTTTTGGGAAAGATCTAGTTCTCTAAGGTTCTTCATATTTTTAAACCATCTTACGGGCACATGCTGAAGAGAGTTACTGTGTAGACGTAATACTTGAAGTTCTGTCAGTGCATCAAAAGCATTTACATGGATCTGCAGGGGGGAATTATTCTCACAGGGTATGCAAGGAAATGGGACATTATAACAACGAGGGCAATTTCCACTTAGGTCAAGAATTTCCAATTGGTTGAGGTTATTAAAATCATCTTCTTGGATATTTGTGATTATGTTGTTATAAAGATAGAGTTCTGTTAAATTAGATGGCAAAAGAGTAGGGACAGCTGTAATGTTGTTATCTTTCAGTGAGAGCACTTTTAAATTTCTCAGGTTTAGGAAGGCATTTTTTTCAATTGAATAGGAAACATTACAAGGATTGCGATAATAACAGTTTTGGCCCAGGAAGAGCATTTCTATGTTGACCAGTTCCGTTAGATTCTCCTTCATGATGACAAAGATATTGTTGGCCTCAAGGCTCAGAAGCTGCAAGCTGGGTGGAAGGTCCTGAGGTATCTCTAGAAGCTGGTTCCCATCCAGATAAAGGGATTTTAAATAAGTGAGTCTACTAAAGCTTCTAGGTTTAATCTGCAGCCTCCTGACACACATGTTCTTTTTGGCCCCCATTCGAATAGGTACACAGTTGCACCTGAAATCCACCTCTATCAGATGGTCCAGGTTGTGAAAGGAGTCTGGGGAGATGCTTGGTATGTGGTTAATAGTGAGGGTGAGGTTGGTGGCATTGGTGGGAATACCTTCAGGGATTTCTGTCAAGTGCTTATCTGTGCAGTCCACGATCACATGGGTCTTTGAAGGGTCCAGACTGATATCACAGGGCAGGGTTTTAGGAAACCATCTAGCCCCAAGGAGTCTGGAAATTAGCATCATGCCTAAAAGGATAAGAAATTGTCTCTTCAGTGTCCACGTTGGAAACCCCTGAAAAACACAAGAAAAAACAATTTATTGTTCTAACATATACCAGAAATCAGAATTCAAAAGTTCCATTTGCTGTCCCTCTTTTGCTACACTGTAAAAATAAACAACTCAGGTCCTGTTCTTAATTGTCTAAACAGCACTTCCAACCCTGCAATTTTGTCAGTAACTGAGCTTTTCCTTCATTTAGATATATATTTAGTTTTTAGCAGCTTAGCTTTCTAGCAAATGGCTTTTAAGGTTTTAAAGCAGCATTTTCCTACTTGCTGTTGTGTAGAATGCTACCACTGAAAAACCATTGATTAGCTGCCAAAGTCTGAAATTTGAAGGGTCAGGGAATATTTACAAACACGAGTTCACTTGGGAGGAGTAATGCATTGAGATTTTAGTAATTTATGTTTACTTTCTAAGCCTGCCCTGGTACATATCATTGGGGTCTCTCATAATATTCAAGCCTCATAATATTGCAGTAGTAAAAGAAGAGATCCATGATCCCTATATTGCAAATTAAGACATGGCTTAGCAGTATTAACTGGCTTTCCTAAGATCACCCACTTAACAAATGGCACTTGATTATCAAGCACACACTCCTGCCATCTTGGCATTGCCATTCTATTGGGTGGTTCTCCTCTTGGATTGCTTTTGGAAATCATCTCCAAGATGATTTGTAGATGTGTGTTTTCCCTACACATTGAGTTTCCAGTGAATAAATTTGGAGAGAAGATGGTAGTAGCAGACACTGAAGTCTGAGTGACCTGTAACCATACAATTGATCAAGTGAGGTCCTTACAGGAGCGAAAAGTCAGCTGTTAATAATTATGCTAAGACTATATACATAAACCAAGAGTCTCTAAGAAAAATGGGACATGCCTACCCAGAAAGGTGATTCTTGGGCGTCTAGATTAAGCATGACAGATAAAGCAACCCTGGAAAGAAAGGCCTTTAAAGAGAATTTATGAGGAATGCCAAAGAGCTTTGTTATTTACCATATTACATTCAACTAGCCCTGCCTTAGAGGGTGGTTTAACCATGGGCTCGCTGTCATGTTCCAGGATTTACTTCAGAACACTGGTTTTCATTTAACCAGTACTCATACATGGAAAGCTCCAACCTGTGTTTCTACAATAGGCTTCTAGCTCAATTAATGATTTTGTCCTCCCAGTAGATGGAATCCACCAATCGTGTTGATATCTAATAGACCAAAGGTCTACTTACCTTAATTCCTCTAACAGGAGGTAAATAAAATTTTCCCCAGTTTTCTTTTGTCTATGCAAGATAGCTCAGAAGGATCTCAAAAGGGTTTTTTCATCCACTTTACATGCCTAAAGTTTGTCGAAGTTAGGTACAAGAAATTGTCTGTTTTTCTTCTTCCACTACCTTGGCTTTTCCTCCCTGTTACATTAAGACCATTCACTGAGTCTCTTTGACCTCCTCATTGTCTTTCTCAACACCCTCTTGCATTTCCAGTTTAGCTAACACAATAGCAGCTGGGATTATGCTGCCCTTGCTCTAGTCAAAAGCCTTGTCTCTAGCGTGGCATTCTTCCAATCCATACTATCTATCAAGCTTCCCAAACATTAATCATTCTCTTGCTCAAATATCTCTAAAATGGATTTCTTTTTTGTTTTCTCATTTACAGTATGAACTCAGACTTTTTATCATGAGATCTGAAGTCTTCCATAATTTGTCCCTGTCTGCTTGTGGGAGTTTACCTGACAACTCTTCTAATGCTAAATCCAAGGTCCCCAACTTACTTGGAATACTCTTTCCTACCATTTTCACCCACTAGAATTCTATTTATCTTTCAAACCTATATTCATCTAACTGGAGCACTCAAATGCTTGTGAATATATGGCAATGGGAAGCCAAGGGTAAATATGGCATATCTTCCTAGAGCATCAATATTACTCTAAGATTTAGGGGAAATGTTTACTATTCAGTCCACAGGGAGAGAGTGAGTCAAGCAAAGATGAAGGGCTTTGGAAGAGAGAAAGGAGCAAAGCAGAGTGAACCCTTTTATGAGTCCCAGTAATAGGATTCCAGATCCTGGAACACAACTTTAGCTATGCTTTTATCAGAAGACGTGAGAAGCGCGTGCAGTTCACCATCAGAAGGCTATAGGTAATGCTGCTAAGAGTGATGCTGCAGACCAGGGAGAGGAGCTGTGTTCCAGAGCGGGCAACGTGGGAAAAGGACTATCATGAACTGACTGCTCTCTTATCATCCCATTCCCATGAACCTATACGAGACCCTAGGAGGAAGTGGGAGTATCCCTGAATTAACTGACTTAAAAACATAAAGTGATTGGGACAGGAACCATAAGACTGAGATTTCTAGGATATTTAAGTATTTTGCGGATTGAGGAAAGTGGAGACTCCAAGAAAGTTTGATTATGGAAAAATAAAGTGATGCCTTAACCAATGGCGTGCTGGCAAATGTTTAACAACCAGCTTTCCTGCTCTCCCTCACAGCCCCAACAAAACTCCTTCATTTGTTAAGTGCTGATTCATAGTATTTATCAAATTCCACAGCATAAGTATTCCTCCCATGGCCAATTTCAAGCTACCAGTGTGACATCACTGAATGCCGAGCTGGGGAGAGATACACAGAACTGCGGCTTCTTTTCTTCTCTCTTTTTTGCTTCCCATATTTTACTTTTTATTAGTACCTGCTTGCAGTGAGTAATGATCACATTGATCAGGGGAGATGAGTACACATACACAGTATACCTTAATTCTTTTCTTTGTCCCCTTCCTCTCCCCTCCCTCCAACCCTTCTTCCCCTCCACGTTTACAAAAGCTCTATTTCCATTTTTTTCTTTAAATATTTTTCCACTAAGGAGCAGAATGGGGGAGAGATAATAGGAAGTAGGAAGAACTTGTTCAAATGGGAAAGTGAACAAGCTAACTCCTCTTATAAGCCTGTATTTGAGTACAGCGTGCCACTGGGCTTAACACAGCTGAGAGAATGACCATGACATCTTTAGCCTTTATGCACTGACATATCATAAACTCAAATACAAATTTTATTAGAAAACCAATTTCCCCCTTATTTCTATATTGTGTCTTGCCTGTGTCCACTTTCCCCCTTGTCTACTGCCACCTCCCTCTGCCAATTAGTCATTTGCTCTCACCTGGAATACTGCAATGGCCTCCAAACTGACTTCCCTGCTTCACCTTCTTCTGTACAATTTATTCATCAATCAGCATCAGAGCATTCTCTATAAACACGGATCAGATCAATTACCTTGATCTACTACACTTTGAATGAAATGCAGTCTTTCTTCCATTGCTTATATTGTGCATGTTCTGACTCCAATCTCCCTCTCAGACCTTCAATTGTCCTTCCGCTCTTTAACCACATAGTGCCATCTGGTCTATTTTCTGTTCTGCCATTTACCATACGCCAGGCATTACTTCAAGTGCCAATATATATATATTTATTCACTAATTTAATCCTCACAATAGCCACATGAGGAAGTACTACAGGTCTTCAATCCCTTATCTAATATCTTTGGGGCTAGATGCGTTTTGAATTTCAATTTTTTCAGATTTCCAAGGGTAAAATGATACACATACCTTGTATTATATAATACCAGTTGGGGCTTGGGCACAGATTTCTGCAATGGTACAGAGGATTTTCCACTCTGGGTGAGGTTTTTTGTAAAACAAAAACAAAATCAAAAGCAAAAGAATGACTGGATCTTTAGTTTAGAAAATGATTCTCCTCCAAATGCATCAAATCATGTCATATTGCCATCAAGTGAGGACAAAGACTTCATATTTGGGACTTTGGAATTGCAGGCCTCTCTATTTGCATTTTATGGATGAGTCAACTGAGCTACAGATAGGTATATATGATCTGTAATAGACTGCTTTGCTTTCAGAGCATGTAGCACAATTAGAAATTAACTTAATGATTTATATCCTCATTTATTTACTGTCTGTTCTGCAGGAGAATGTATGTTCCAAGAGATTTGGGCTTTGTGTGTCCTCAGGTAAAAAATATCTGGACTTAGTACTACATTATGTCTGGTGAATACACGAATGAAACAATGAATTCATGCACAAATGAATAGTGAAGTAAAACAAAATACTTTAAAAATATTTCTCCTCAGAGAAGTTTTTTTGAGGCACACTCTCAGACTCAGGAAGGGTCCCTTCTGTCCCTTCTACAAGAAGCCTTCTGGGATCAAAGCAGAAAGAAGTACTCCCTCCCTCCTCTCCTCTCCTGCACTAATTATACCTGAGGCTGTGGAATGAACAGTAGGTCAAGTGTTAGAAGAACTGGGCTCTAGTCCTGGCTTGGTCGTTCACTACCCATGACTCTCTGGGCTCCAGAGAAGACATCTCACAAGAGAATGGCAAACACCATAACACCAAAGAGCCAGCCACCACCCCTACCCCCAATACTTAGGACCAAGACAGTGGACCTGAACCAGACAATGCTCCGATACTTCGTTAGCTAGAAATTGTACCGAGTATCTCGTGAGAAAGAATTGATAATAAATATCAGAATTCTACTGATTCATATTCATTCTCTCACTGAGAAATATGAATTGGATACCTACTATGGCCAGAAGACACATCATCTCTGCCCATAAAGAGTACAACATTTTTGGAAGGGAGCAAAAAATATAGAAATCTAAAATATAGAAATCCATATTTTCTTTCCAGACAAGATGCCAATGATCATATTATGTGTAGCTTAAATGTATGTTGTTCTTACTTTATGAGGTAGTTTCTGATAATTTCAATTAAATCTTTTCATTATCATCAGAGTCCAGAGATTGCTATACATCTCCTGGTATCTTTCCCCCGTTTCCTCATGTCACAGTGACAGGATTTCCAGTTTTAGTTGGACATACACCACTCTGAAAAGTGATTATATTTTTCAGACTCCCCTGCAGCTAAGGATGACCATGTGATTAAGGATTGGCCATGTAGCCATTGTGATTTGAGAGGAAGTGAGGTGTGCAATTTCTGGGACATGTCCTTAATAAACAGTTGAGCTAGTCCCCTTATTTCCTTGTACTTTTTTTTTTAAGAGTAGGAAAACTTTATTGAGAGAAAGAAAGCTTCTAAGAGAGACAGAAGGGGGACCAGCAAGTGGGTTGTCCACCCACCCCACTTTTCAAAGATGTTTTATACAGAAAAGCCATGTGGTGAGGTGGGTACAAAGAGGGACAAAACTATAAAACCCAATGGTAATTTACAAGGTGGGCATGAGGTGGGACAAAACCATGATCAACCAAAAAGATTATAAGTACAGTCACCCAGGTAATATTGATTAAATGGGGGTCAAATGGGAAGACAAGTCACATACAAAGAATTTCCCATTTATCATATCAATCACTGTTACCTATCTCTAGGAAAAGTAGTGCCTTTTCTTTTTATAATGCTAACCAGTGAATGTGCCTCAATCTTCCCTTACAAGCTTACATGGGTTCTTGTAACATGAATACAGTAGACAGCCATCTTGAATGGTGAAATAAGGGAAACGTGTTGGTCATGGTAGAGTAACAAGGTGGGTGATCAGAAACACCAAGATCCTTCCTTCTATGACCTCATACATCCCAACAGTAATAATGGTTCTGAATTACTGACTTTCAGGAGTTTATGAGAAATCGGAAAATTTTTAGGCTAAGCCAATGTTAATTGAATATTCATTGCACAAATGCAAACCTAATTTTACACTTGATCTTGGCCAAAAGGCTGAGAAGCAATTGTAAACCTAATTTTAACCAGCATATAATTTGGAGATAAGTTGCTATCCATGAAAGAACCTAGGTTATATTAATTTAATTAGGCTGTGAGGAAGAAAGACTCAGATATTGGAGAGTGGAAAGCAGGTGGCCCATGTTAGGCTGTTGCCAGACTCTTGATAAAACTGTCACCTGTCACCTCTGGCTTGGAAGTGGAACATATTCCACTTGTGACTTAACCCTTAAGGGAAATGGTTTGGCAACATTCATAATGAGTATGTGTGTTGGTGGTTTCTTACTGGTTTTTAGCAGTCTTATGAGAGAAAT